AGAGGTCACCATACTTGCTGATGATTGTAGCATCTGGCTGTTACTTACCTTCTTACATCCTATAGACGCAGCAAAGATGGCCTTTTTAGTTTTTCCACACTACTTCTGCATTTTGGCTCATTTTTTGTTAAATTATTAATGACATAATAGTTCATCTTTAATTGTACTTATCTAAAGTCCGGACACATAAAACCTTACAATTCAAAGAGGGAGCACTTTTATTTTCATAACTCTATCATTGATGTTGCCCAATATCTGTATTTACCGTCTCTTTTTCTGTACTTTAAACAAGTGTTAAAGTGTACTTAAGAGTGTACTTTTAAGTGTACTTAAAATATGTGTTTTGCTTACAAAAATGCACAAAAACTAATATTTCAATTCACTCATAATTTCTTTTTACCTTCAGGCTCTTGCAGACAATCATCATCCTTCATCCCGTCGTGGTCACCAGGCGCCTGATCTTGGTGTCGTTCCTCGTCTTCTGTGAGCATCTCAGATTCTTGGTTTTGCTTCTGCTCGAAAGGACCTTTCTCTTCTTCCTCCTTGAAGCATTCAGGAGAGTGCACTTCCTTCTTCAGACATTCTTTCTCAAGTACTGGTATTTCTGTGCAAGGTTTAGGTTCCTGTTTGCTGCTTTGCTGAGTGTGCACTTCTTCCCGCTTTAATTTTGTAAACGAGACACCTAAAATATCGCCCGTGATCATCTTAAGTCGTGCACAAGTGGGCGGGAGGGTTAACATATGTCTTTCAATTTTTAAACTCTCCTTTGTCCTTGTGTTATTTACATGTGCAATATTTAGCTTTGTTAAGGCTGAATTTGCCTCTATACCAACTTGACTCTTTGGATTCTGGAACAAAGGGAAGTTGCTCTCTTCAGCTAATGGGATATCACTTGCATCACTTGCCTCAGTGCCCTTCTCCATCTTGACCGTTTTACCCTTATCTGCCTTGTTATGCATCTTGCTGTCATCATTGGCCAACTGTAAGATATGACGCAGTATGTCATCTTCTACCTTTGCCTCAATGTTCAGTGTTTTATCCTCAAGTGCTTTAACGTCTTGCTTTTGAGCTGGTGTTTCTTCATCCACTTTGAAATCATTTCCTGTCTCCGTTTGTTGTTTGTCTCCAGATTCTGTGAATTTAGGTTGGGCTTGGTTTTCATTTGTCTGCCTCTCTTCCTCTGGAT